TGTTTGTGGAGTTTGCATGCTCTGCCAAGAAGGCCAGTTCATTTTTATGAGGAACTCTGATTGATTTGTGGTTTGAACATGTTAAAACCATGAAATACCGGATGAAATTAAATCCAAGAGACTCCATGCGTTTGGCATACTTATCTACATTGGGGTGGTTGGTTTCAGGGGTCTGTGTTTTTAGGAATAGCATATCTTTAGACTCCCAGGGGATTGGGGAAGAAGGACATCTTAACAGATTCGGTCCATTTGGGTGATGGACCGGTGTCTCACGGCCTGTCGTCATCGCCCAGTCGTGAGCGCCGTCGAACACGGCGGGTCGCTGTGGGTCGTCTGGGTCGTCTGTCGCAGCCCACCAGAACAGGACAAGACCTCAGCATGTTTGCCGTCTTCGTCCAACATCGGACCGTTCCCCCCTCCGCACCGTGCGCGGCACGACGCTGGCACGAGCGGCGGCGCGGCACTGGCGGACCGCCCCTCTGAAGGAGTTGCGCGGAGGAGTCACGAAGTTCCCATCCGTCGACGTGTGTATTGAAATAGGGAGACACCCCGTTCTCGACGCCCCTGGCTGCGCTACATGGTCAGACCATGGTCAGACCTTCCGAACCTTCTGGAAGGTGGAGGATCTCGCTACTGTCATCCACACCTCTGGCATTGGGCTGGGAGGTCCCAAAGCCACCGAGGCAAAGGCGATCCCATGAGTTTCATCTTTCGATGCCAAGAGAACGCTCGGATCGTCCGGACCGATCCAACTTCCTTCGCCTCCGCTCTGAACAGAGACTCCGAGGAGGACCAGAGGAGGAGGACCACCGGACAACCGTTTTTTCTTGTTCTTCATGTCTCTGCGCCCATAGTTCTTTCTCAAAGTAGTGAGGAAAGGCAGCGCAAAAGGAGCGCGGAACGTTGAATCTGACGGGACAACCACGGCCCTGCCAGGCGCGGTGGTCACTCTTCAGGAGCGCCGGACGAAGCTGATAAGGACGATCTGAACTTCTTTTAAACAACAGCATAAGCTGCATCATCCGCAACCAATGCTGTCATGATTCGCAAGTTCCGCTTGGATTTCTCTCTCTCTCTCTCGCCTTGTTGGGCGGGTGCGGGGTGCGAACGATGCCATGGACATGGGCCGGCTCAATTGATTCGATCTCTGAACTCTTTTGCCTCCTTAAGTGTTGTGGTTGTATGACCATCTCCAGCAAGATGAGGTCATTGAGGGATGGTTTGCCCTTGAGACGGGCCGTAAATAACTTTGCCAGATATGCCGGGAACAATTGACCGGCGGCAAGTTGAGTATGAGACTCAAACGGCCTTGTAAGGCTCTAGGTGGGTGATCCTACCGCTGTGCTTTGTTTGTCAAAAACATAGTTCCATGGTCTGGTTTGGTTGATATTCCATTCCTATCAAGTCCCTCTAGGTTCATCTTCCATTTTCCATCCGAGGTCGTGTCTAGCTTCCAAGCAAGAGGTTACAAACGAGGCTCGTACGGAGCCAAGTCTCAGTTGTTGATGCTGAAAGCTCCCAGGTTCGAGTCACCTCGTCCACCAACCACTCCCATCGGCCTGTCAGAGGGAACCCGAGGACAAGGAAAGGCCAGGCCTAGTTACGACACCTGCTTGCAGAGGAAGCACTCCATGTGGTGGAAAAATTCTCAGATATGTCTATATTGACCCCTGAAACCAACCACCCCAATGAAGGATAATGAAGGTAAATATGAAATACATGGAGTTTCAGGGTTTTCACACCTTTTCCAACTGTTGAAGTGGTGTGAGCATACAGCCTTGGCCTTGGTTTGTACTTCCAGCTGTCTTGTTCCATCATGTCCGGGTTGCCCACCTGAAGTCGGTCGTTTCGTTGCCTGTTCACTCTGCGTTGGTGCGAAAAGCTTGACTTGTGAGCTGTCACTGACCTGGCACTGAGCTCTTGCTTCTCAACAGTGATGTGCTTCATCCGATCGAAGCCCACCTTCAGATCTGGCAACAGGTTGCAACAAATGGCTGTGGGTCATGGCACTCTGGTGTCCCTTTTCATCCCTTCACGCTTTGCCGGCGGCGCCGCCTGGCCCCTTTCTGACGGGCGACTGGTCGACTCGTCTTCGTGAGAAGGTGGTTCACCACCCACAGCGGAGGTCGTGGGTTGGTTTTTGGGGGGTCCTCATTCCAAAGTGGAAGACCTTTTCTGGATTTGTGCCTTCCTGTATTTATGAATGACCGTGATTTGAACTTTGCATTACAGTTACCCATTCGAGGTGCCTTTTGTAAGTGTGTGTGTGGCTGGCTATCTGCACTTCTTTTTAAATCATACTTGTCAGAGTACAGCTCTTCAAACACGCTCACAAAATAAGGCTTGTGGCTAGCAATGTTGGGTTTGGCCCAAAAAAATCGGGCAGGCCGCCAACTTTGAGAGCCATATCTGGTTGACTTGATCAAGACACTGTGTGATAGCTGCACAAGTGCATGTCAAGAGTTCTGGTGAAACAAAAACCCCTTCCTCCCAACTGGTTCCCTGGGCATTCGCAGTGGTAGCGGCCGACTCCAAGTGCTTGGATGTTTCTCAACCAATACTTCTCTTGAGATGTTTTTTTCCACCATTCTCCACCTGGTGGAAACCAGTCTTGTCAGGTGCCCTTTCCTCCCGAGCATGTCGGCGCGCTCTTGCAGCTCGCGCTGTCGGATCGTCGTCCAGATGACTTCGAGCGTTACGGCGCTGTCTCAACGCCGGGCTTTGCCCCGCCACCGCCCCCCTTGGGCGAACCAGGCCGGGAGGCGTCTGTGGTGGACGAATGAAGCACTTTTTGGGGACGACAGATCCCCAAAACCAGGTGAAACCAGGAGATTTGCGGTCCCAGATCACACATCTTTGCAGGCTCAGGCGGTGATAGTGAATTTGTCAAGTGGGATGATGACTCCAGCCCGAAATCCTTTTTGAATACGTGATCCATAGCAGTTAATAACGATCCCCAAATAGATTTGGTTTAGCATGTATTTGGACATTATATGTTACCAGTTTTTGCTAATGGATATCTGGATCCATTTCAATCCCGCGATCAGCCTTCGTGACACCGGAGTCAGAGCCATTGAACATCGGGGCAGGGCGTCGACGTCGACCGCAACACCAGGTGATTTTCCCTGGATGACCTTGCACAGTGCTGTTGGTGTTCACGTTTCTGAGCTTGGAGCCCATGTAGATACTTTGATCTCCACGATCGAGGACAAGACCTTGCCTCTTCGCTTGCGCCTGATGGCTACTCACTGGCTAGCAGAGGTGACAAAGCTAAAAGGGATTTGCTCTGGTTGATCGAGTGTTCCTGCACCACTCGTGAAGATAAGTCACTAGCCAAGTCTTTGTTTCGACATGGTGCAGGATTCTTGCTCCAGAAGTAGGTTTAGCAGCAGTGCAAGCTTCTTAACTGTGCGGGATGTGATTTCATCAAACATGCACTGTTAACATCTGTTTATGTTGGATTCATAACTTGAGGCTGTGTGTTGGCCAGAAACCTTGCCCCGATTTCCGTTTTTGGAGCACAGCCTGTGCCAAGCCGAGGTGAAAAGGACTTGCCCAGCCAGAGTCACTCTTCCTGTGAAGTTCCTGGTGGAGCTTTTTGGGCACGAGGCCATCGGGGTCCGCTCTCAAGCCATCAATGCCTTCAAAAACTGCGGAACCATCCCAGAGTCCTTGTCGTATCTCCCTCAATTGGCCAAATGCTTGGAGGACACCGAATTCACGGTTCGCAACGCTGCTTGCAACGCCTTCTCAGGTTTCGATGCCATTCCCTGCCTTCGGCCATACATCTCTACCATTGTGGCCATGAACATGGCAGCGGATCAGACGGCGCCTTTTGGCGGCGCATTGGTATGCCAACAACTGGATGTCTTCAGGAACGACTTGGTTGGTCAGGAAGAGGAAAGGCAAGTCCTGGCCATGGTTCGGTGTTTGAGTCGATTTGAGAGTGGGGAGGATTCGAACAAAGCGGCGCTTTGGGCCAAACTACTTCGGCCAGATCAGCTGGAGACAGACATTGTCAAAGGCATGGCCTGGCTAACACTGCGAAAAACAGAAGAAAAGCAAAAGCCAGGACGAGGCAATATATACGCAAGCGACCAGAGCAGTATTGAAACGGCAAAGTTTATTGCTGCGCTTGGAAAGAAGGGGAGAGTCGCAATGGAGGATTTGCTCCGAGAAAGACCGAAGGACATAGACTTCAACAAGCTTTTAACTTTCACCATTGACTCAATCAAGAAGCTGGAACCCAATGACCCACGACTTCCAGCTTTACTACACTACGTTCAGGGCAGAAATGGTGCTTCTTCAACCCAACAGGCTTGCTGGGATTTGCTGCAACGGAGCGGCAGCACAGGTGATCATCCTGCGCTCAAGCAGGTCTTGCCATTGGTCGGTCTTGCCATCTCTCAGGACAGAGCAGACAAAGCGCTGCACCGACAACTTTTCCACCGCAGACTCTTTTTGTATCCGCAGCCGCGATACCGTTGAGGCACGCTAGCTTGGCGCATTTGGAGCAAACAAACTTGGCTCCGTGAGAAGAACGCACAGGTTCTATTATAGTAATGGTTTTTTTGAAACGCTGGCATTCGCCTAGATACATCGGATTTGATCACACAGACCATAGCAGGGTGCCTCTGATTGCCTACGCCGTGCTCCATGTCTCACTTGTTAGTGAATTCGACCTTGGCCAGCGAAACGAAAGCTGTGTCTCGCACCGAGTTCAAGGCGCCCCCCAAAGGCTCCATGTTCTGTCCAGGTCAAGAGGCTAACCCAACTGAGTTAGAAGGTGCTGCAGTTGAATTTTCTCTACAGGATGGTTGCTTTGTTAGTTTGGAGAAATGTACCTTGCAAGCCGTCCGTGGTGCTTTGACGCGCTGTTTTACACGTAATGCTGTCAGCCTTTGGTTCATTCACGTAGCATGTGTTCCACTTGCTCAGCCACCAGTCTGCCCTGCCCTCAGCAAGAACTCATTCTCATGCTATCACTTCCACCACTGCAGGTGGAGGAAGAGCCTTGATCAACGCCAGCCAAACAACCGCAACCTGCGCTGATCAAAAAGGGTGCCCAATGTTGAGGTGCCAAAGAGATGGTGCCTTTGAGTCGGTGCGTCACCGGGCGGTTCCCGCAGGGGTGAGGCGAACGGCGGCGAACGAAAGAACAGCCCCAAGGCTCGGAGGTGAGCGAATCGTGGAAGCAACCCTAAAAGATCAGGTCGAAGGTGAGCGACCCATGAAGGGAATTGAAGGGAATCTTTTTTTGTACCTGAAACAGACTTCCCTCTTGTCAGAAGGGAATATATTGCCTGGCTAGGCAGACTGGAGCCTGTGGGACGATGTTGAGTCTTGAAACTTCATCGCTCATCCTGCTCGTCCCATCAAAGACCTTTCAAGACGAGGGAGGACGTCCTAGTCAAGATGGTTTGTCTACCCTATAGAATCCTTGGACCCATGCGGAGGAGTCCGGACCTTCCAAACCCCCATGTTTCAGGGGGCCCGGATTCTTTCAGTCGATGGAAAGAATCCGCTGGATTTGACCGGATCTCGCTGGTGAGGGTCTTTGAGATCAAAGGTAGTCAGCTCCCCGTCGCTCATGTTGGCGCCGACACTGCTCGTGCTCTTCTCTGCAGTCCAATCGGAGACTGTCCATGAGAAAGCGTGGGAACACTTTGGGCTCTTGAACGAGCTCCGAGCGGAGGGTTGCTTGGCTGGGATCCAAAGGGGCCAGCTGACCCAAATCACAAGTCCGAAGGCCGTACCTTTTTACCATTCTTACATGTCCAAAAACATCACACAAACTCTGTGCTCGATCGATCCACTAAGAACACCGAACAACAATGTGTTCGATCGGGCCTCCCTGCTCTTAATGCCACTGCTCTGCCAGGCTTCACCTGCCCGAATGGTGCTTCCTACGACCCGAACCCCGTGCCCTTGCGCTTCGACTGCAGACTCTGGAGGGCGGCGCGGCTGCATTCTGAGGACCCACACCGTTCGTCGAGAACGGTGCCGGCGGCGCAGACACGAACGAGTGTGATTGAAGAAACGAGCGGGATTTGTGGGGTGGATTTTATGGGATTCTTGGAAGTATTGGTGCTTACAATAGATAATTTTTTTCGGGGGACGTAGGGCTCCATCAGGTATAAGAGAAGTGTTTTTTGGCCGTCTACCCGGAAACCATCCGGTTCTAGTACATTCAGCGACGGAACACGCGAATGATATAAGCGAAAAAAGACCACGGCCTTGCATTCCGCAGGACATGGCCACGCAGGGCTACTTCTCGCATACCTCCCTGGACGGTCGTAGTCCTTGGGACCGTGCCGAAGAGCAAGGCATCAGCGCCAACGGGGAGAACATCGCGGCGGGTCGATCGACGGCGTCCGGCACGTTGCAGCAATGGAAGGACTCAGATGGACATTGCAGAAATATGATGAATCCGAATTTTCATGTTTTTGCGATTGGTTATGCCTATGAGTCCTCTGCAAGATACAGGTACTACTGGACTCAGATGTTTAAGAGTAGAGATGTTTCAGACCTCGATACTTCTTGCTATTCGACCACCTCAAGCACCTCTGTCTCAAGCACAAACACTGAAACGCTCACAGAGACAACTGCCAGCAGCACGGAAACGAGCACCGAAAGCACCACTACCACGGTGACCACAGAGAGCTCCACGACTCCGACTGCGACTGGAACAACCACCGGTACTTCCACTGGTACAGTGACAGAGACAGCGACTGGGACAGCCACTGGCACTGCAACAGGGACTCAGACCGGGACAGCGACTGGAACGACCACCACAGCAGCGACAGCTTCGGGGACGTCCACCACGCGTGCGACGACGACGTCGTCCGGAAGCGGAAGCGGGACTTCGACGAGTCGATCAACAACAACGAGTCGATCAAGTACTCTTTCTGGCACCCAGACTGGCAGCTTTCGAAGCGCTGGCACCAGTGTGACCTCGACCACTGCCAGCACCAGTGGTGCCACGAATGAATCGACCTCGTCGCTGGTCGAAGGTGAAGGCGAAGGCGAAAAAAGCACCACGTCTGTTGCCTCGAGGATCGAAGGTAAGCTGATTTTGGAAGTCTCAGACCCACAGCGCTTTCTTGAGGCATCAGATGAGCTGCGAGGACCGACCTTCGGGGCCTGGCCTTGCTTTTGGGTGGTCATCGGGTTGGTTTAAAGATCGATCTTTTACCCTCCCTCCAACAATCATGGAAGTGGAATAGAGCCTGTATGTAGAGGAAAACAGTCTTCCAAGGGCCATGTTCCACTTCCATGTTTGCTGGAGGGAGGGTAGTGATAATCATCAGGGTTATATAAGTCTTTCGGGGTCTACAAACCGGTCATCACCACACGGAGTAAACATAAAGGACGAGGCGGCCTGGCGAGAGAAGATGCATTTGTGTGGTTAGTTGGTTGCGAACAGGGTTCTTGATTTGCAGGAAGCACCATGTTTGGCCTGAATGAAGTTGGGCCAAGAACAAAAGAACAACCATATCTGTATACCGTATATATATATATATATTTTCGACAATGAAGTGATCCTTTGGGAAGGTCGTTAAGATATCCACACGGTATCCACAGACCCGTTGGGATTGGACATATTTGGACAAAGGAGTTGGCTCGACCCTGCCCCCTTACTCAACCTCTAAGCTTCGGATTTCCGGGTGAATCCGAGACGCGGAAGACCGAGAATGGACCCGAAACAGGAGAAGACAGGAGAGCAAGTTCAAACCTGGATGCCCGTGAGGGGACTGCGATGGCGTGTATGTGTTGCCCAGACATCTTTGGAAGACATCTGGTAATAATTAATATTTTTCATGACCACTTTCGACCGTCGAAACGGTCAAGAAAACTGCCGATGCCCTGATATTATAAGCCCAGGTGGTGCTAGAAATGTCGGCCGCAAACTAACATTTTGAACATCACCGGGACGTATGTATTTTCTTCAAAAACGTTGAACAAACACGGAAAATGACTAAAACAATCGCTACTGTAAAGCCTTATCTCCAGAGAAGAAAGCATGCTAAGAGGAGAGGAAGTTTTGAGGTAGCAGCTGGGCCGAGCACCATTGGCGCCACAATACGAGCAACGATGTTCATAAACTACATACATGTTGCAAAAGCGCTGTAATTTACAGTGTTTTCTGCCTAGTCATGCCCCCAAGAATTTGCATCTTTCCTGCCAAGACTCTGCTGATGCTAATGATGCTCGACCCAAATTTCTCCTCTAAGCTTGTATCCATTTTCAATGCTTTATTTTCTATTATGTTTGGCAGGTACTTTTTCATCAGTGACCATTTTTGACCATTTTCACTGTGTTTTTGATGTTTTTTTGACGAATCCACCTGAGCTCGGGTGATGCTAGAGAAATGCGGGTCGGCGGCATCGGGGGCGTCTCCGTATAGCAAGCTATGCTTGATATGGCCACCGGGACGGCGTCGCCGTAATTTCCACGATATTTCAAAGCACAAGGAAAAGTGCAATGCTGGACAATATTTACGGAAAATTGAGATATATGTTATGATGGGGTGTCCCCAGGAGAGGTAGACGTGGACCACAAATTCACTGGGATAAATAATCTTATCAGGTTTCTGCGGATGACTGGGCTTCAAAAAAAAGTCTGGTCAAGCTGAAGTGTTTGTGAGGTGTTCAACATGCTGCAAATGTCCAGTCCACAAGTTTCTGCCATATTTCAGCAGATGGCCGCCATATTCCCGCACATGTCCGCCATAGACTTGTTTGTCAAATGTTGCAAGTTGCAGCGCCTCCAAGAGTTACCCCTTCATCAAACGTGGAGAGTTTGTTGGAACGCCCAAAGTTGGAGAGTTTGTTGTGTAGTGCTTAATCAATTCTGCACCCGTATTGTGTCCTGTTGCACCAGGTGCAGGTCAAGATCCCCAAAGAGCGCAAGAAGGGACATATGGTATTTTTTTGCATACAAAGGTTGTTGCAGGAAGGTCGTTCCCAATTCTGCCGATCAAAAAGATCCTCCCACGACGGTATCAGGACCCTTGAAGTCCTTCTTGGCCGAGTTCCTGGAAGTCGACGTGAGTCGCATTTCCATCCACTCGGTGCGTGAGTCCTTGCGGCGTCGTTTGGCCTCCTTGCGACGGCTGCTGGGCACCAACCTGGATGTGGACTACTCTGTGCGAGTGGAGACTCCGGAAGAGCTCACGACAGTGGTCACACACATGGCTTCAACAGAGCCAAGCCGAAGCTTAGTTCAGAACTCCAGTCATCATCTTTTCGCCAAAGGTTCTTATGTGCTGGCTTGGACCTTTCCAGGGATGAGCATTCTAGAGGAAGAAAAACACTTTTGACATGGGATCATTTGACCCTTAAAGAGACATGGAACTGGTAAAGATTGTCACAGGCAGCTTGGAAGAATCCTTATGAGGTGGGTTAAAGACAGCCAACGAAAAGAGGACGGTTTTGGGGGTTGGGTTTTGGGTTCGTTTTGGTGGGGCCGGGGCCGTCATGGTGTTAAGGAGTGAAGGAAATGCTACAGGAGAATTTGCAAGATGATCTGGTTGAGATGAACATGTCCGTGGAAGTGGTGGATATGCAAGTGACGCAGACTCCACAGCTGTCAATGGATAGTCAGAACCTCAACCAGAATGCCGCAGAGCCCCTGGATCCGATTTGGCTTTTCTTTGTGATTGGAGGTTCAGTTATAGCTTGTGCTCTTTGCCTCTGCGGGTGCCTGGCTATGGCTTGTCTCAAGCGAGCAACGCCTTCACTGGACCAGAAGCGAGATCGGAGCAGTTTGCCAACAATTCATGGCCACTTGAATAGCCAGGGCCTTCAAAAGTGTGCCAGCAATGTGACGATGGCCTCTGGCAAGAGTGGACCCTGTGTCGTCTCTCGTTTGTAGTCCCTCCACATCCGAGGGGCGACAAATCAAAGGGCGAGCCTGTTTGATCTTCGGAGCCTGTTTGGGGCTTCCTGTAAGGGTTGATCACATAAGGAATGAACACGTCCCCTCAAAGAATATAGACTTCCCAGGATTTGCTATAGTTTGCTAGCTGGTAGGCAAATATTTGCTATTGTTTGCTGCTAGTGTTTCAGTGTGTCTTTTGGAATTTCATACATCTTCGGCGTCTTGTAAATAGCAAACAGAAACTGACCACCTCAAACAACTCTTGCAGTAGACCCTTTTCCAAAGAAATCTAGATCTCGTGCACTCCAACCCTACAGGTCAACAAGTTGCGCAAGGACATGACCACGTTTTTTTTTGGGGCACCCTTGAAGACATCCACCATGATCAGCCCGAGCACCGTGCCTAGCACCTGGAGATGGCTCGAAAACATGAAGCCCCTGACGGGAGACCAATCGTTCTGTTCGTGGTGCCACCTTAATATTATTTCCATCTGTTTTGAACACTGTCATATAGTAGATAGATCTACAATAATCAATTAACTCCAGTTTCCGAGTCAGATCCATCTTTAAAGTCTCCACAAGTTGAGGCCATTCCCATGAGCGTAGACCTCTTGCCGCCTAGCCTGTCGTGGCCACAGCCGTGGCGCCCTCTCTCGTCAAACGACGACAGATCCCGAAACGGTACAGCTGTGGTTGCGCTGGGACCCTCACCGAAGAAAAGGGAATCCGGAGCTTTTTCCAGAGCAGAAAGCGTCAGAATGGCTTGCGATGGAACATGATGGAACGAAGTTTTTGTAATTAAGTTGACCTGTTCATACCTGCACCATCAGTGTTTGCTAACTGCATATCCTTGCACCCTTTAAGTGTCAAAACCAGCAGATGTGTTTGCAGCAGAAGGGGGCTCAAAGCAGGCTGAGCCCATGAAATGCCTGGCACACAGCCCGGGGGCGCTCGCGCTGCTCGTGGTGCCACGCGCGCACCACGCGTGGTTCCATGGCATGGTTCAGCTGGTGTTTGGCGGCCATAGCAGTTGCACAAGACTGCCAGGTGTGGGCGATAGGGTGGGCGGAGGCTGGGGTTCTTCCACTGAAGAAGACAAAAAAAGTAGAAGTAGAACGAAGAGCTTGCGCTGGGGGCGTTTCGAAGTGCTAAGAGTGGGAGCCGTTCAACGGAGACGAAACGCCCCTTCAACGGGAGGCCTCGTAGCTGAGAAAAGCACCAAAGGTCAGAGTTCAGAGGTGTTTACAGGACTCGATTCACTTGGAACATCCCATGAATGCCAAGCAACTCCTGATTCCAAATGCATGGAACGCTGCGAACGCATTGCTTCGCATTGCTTCGCATCGCTTGGCGCATTGCTTGGCGCGGACATTGGACACATGCATGTTTCAAGTAACGTCAGATCTAAACCACTCCATGTCCGATCGAATCACTGCAATATCAGTCCGCGAGGTACCTCCCTCGCCGAATATGGGATATCCACCCTGCTTGGAGGGCCTCACTGTGCCAGATGGTGGAATATGCACTCCACAGTGTGTTTCAGGCCAGAAAGCGTGTCTTCGTTTTGTATGGCAAGTTCGCAGTGCATGATGTTTAAGACTCGGCAATTCAAGGCCTCAGACCTCCCAACTCCGACTCCCAGGATTCACACCTCACGAGAATCAGATGCTTTGCACCGATGGCAACCTCAGCCTGGGTGGTCGCGCGGTTTCGAAGTCGCGACGGGTCTGGTGTGAGGGCCTGGGATGTCGTTGTATGTCGGTGTATGTCCTTCATGACATGTGAAGAATGGAAGAGGACAGTGACCCCTGCCTGGCCCTGTAGAAGACCGGCTTCCTTTACCCACATGCGAAGTGATAGGGCATGTTGAAGTCTGGACCACTGTGGGCCCACCAGTCAGACGGGTGATGTGAGGTACAATCACTTGTGTACCAGACTGTATAGCACCAGCAGAGATCTCGGATGCAGCTGACATTCCTTGTGCTGAAGGTAGCTTGGCTCATCGACTGTCGATAACAGCAGATAGCAGCAGAGAGCGCAAAGCGAAGCTTTTTTTGTCCGGGCTTGATTGGTTGTGTCTTCTCATGTATACCTGATCATCACCTTCAAACATCACCAAAGATCACCAAACATCACCAAAGCAACCTGTGTGATCAACTCAAACCTCAAAAAAGCTTCACACCGGTTCCTATCTTCGATTCGTGGAGAATCCCATTTTTCCGAGAATCCACCGACCGCCCTTTAGGGCGCTTAACAAAAACACCCAGGGGAAAACACATGAAAAAGGCCACGGAAGGAAGGACCCATGTGTTTTTCATTTCATATTTGATCCTTTGATATATATATATATATTTATATGCGTGTTGTATATATATATATATATATATTTGAGAAGCTGAGAAGCGTTTTTTTTTGGGGTCCCAAGTTTCCGGCACTTCACCTCCGTTTTGTCCACAGTTCTTTTTCACCTCCAGAATTCCAGAAACTCCTCGCGAGGCATGTCATTGCCACACGGCGGACGCTGTACTCCGGTTTGTTCCAATGGAAGTCTCCCGGTGGACAGCAGCCCGCTGCTTTGTCACAATGGCCAGCTGTTCCCGAGCTCATTCACTTGCCGTCTTTTCCGGTGCGCTCAACCAGCGGGCCTCTTCACCGATACATATCATCCGGAGACACCTTTCGAAGCTTTGAAAGGCAGGGTTGGGGGAAAGTGTTGCGTAAGGTAGTACATGGCACCCAGAAGAACGCTGCACTGTGTTGCGACAGATAGGAAAGACAGATGCACCCCTGTTGAAAGGTGCTGTCACACTTTGGTCTGAGACCTTTCCAAGTGCACTAGACTACCCTGCCGAAGAGCATTGCAGCTCCGCATCTTCCGGTGGAACCGGCTGTAGCACTTGCTACAGCCCCTTGATGACCGTGGAGGTGTCCCCAGACATCGCGACCATTGACGCCCTCTCAGCCGTGGTGGTGGCCTTTGAAGCGATCCAAGGTCGTCGCTTAGCCCTCGCCTTCGAGGAGCACGGATGCCAGACCAACCGCGGCTGTTCTCTCGTCGGTTCCTTTGGCGAGACTGATGGACTTCCCAGAAAGCACCCCGGGACGAGTGTTTGTTTGGAATGGGACTCCTGTTGGTTTAACATAGTCCTACACCAGCACCTCCTATTCCTACATCACCAACACCTGTTGGTATAACCGGTGCTGGTGTATGGATGGGTTGGAGGTTTTGAGACGGTGCCGTGCGGTTCCAGGAGATCGCTGCAACATGGACTTTCGAAGGCGGGCTGAGCGTTCTCGAGGAGTTCTCAACCTTTCCAGAGGAGCTAAGCGCGGCGGTCGGCGTCCTCCGGTCCGCCGGTCCGCGGAGGTCCACGGGATCGGAGCTGGGTCTGAAACGAGGCTGGGAAGTTTGGACCCGATGTTGCCTCGTTTCAGACAGGGCACCAAATCGGGTTTTGAGCCAAAGATGAACCTCCCTGTTTGGAGATCAACATGCGATGTTTGGATGGGTTCAAAGGGGTTTTGCCTAAATACTAAAGATGAGCGGCTGCATCGCACATGGCCGATTGACCCACGTGGACAGATGGTGTGAGGACTTCGTCTTCTTGGAGGGCGAGGTGACCTCTGAGGAGACGCGCCTACCAGCAGGCGTGAGGGGCAGAGAGTGGGCAGAGGGGGGGGGGTTCCAGGTGACATGGGGTTACACTGTACACTTTTTTCACTTCTCATGGGGTTGAGGATATGGGTGACTACCATAGGATCCCCCAAAATACCAAGGACCTTGCATGGGGCCTGTTGCATGCAACATGGGATGCTGAAGGAGCGACTTGCAACTCGGTTCTTAATTTGTTGGATACGCACTTCAGGAGGTGCCTCGGGAGTCTGCGTCTCGTGGTCAACGTGGTCTTCGACCGGTCCTGTCGATGCTTTAGGGAACTTGGTGGGACCCGGAGACCGGGTTTCTGACCACTGTGTGGCACCTGCAAGTGGTGTGGCACCAGGGTGAGAATGGATTCTGATCACGCCCACATCCAACCTCAAATCTTAACCAACCTTCTATATCCTTCTATTGGATCCTTTACTCTTATCCTTCTCAGAAGATCGAAGATATCGTTGTCCACCTCGTGGCACGACCGCGCTGCGCTTCATCCTACTCACGGCAGCCGAAGAAGAGCCCTCGAGTCCTCGCTGGAACACCTCGTTTCGAGTCTCGCTCCAGGCACTCGGCTGAGGAGTCCCTTTGTGAACACCTGGGGACACCTGGACTCGGGCCCCGCCACTGGGCAGATCGATGTCCCATCGATGTCCCCCGTACGACCAGCCGCGTGCAGCGCGCAGAGTCAGTGTGCAGATCAAGTGGCTTCTTCCCGTTGGTTGAAGTGGGCAAAAGACGGGGCAGTTTGCAGGTGAGATCACTTCATTTGGTCGGTTGCGGGTTCAGTATTACTACCACTCTGAACAACTGCTATACAGTATAGTTAGGCATAGTTACTGTACTCCGTTGCAGGCCTAGAACTTCTTGAATTTTACCTGAGATTTGGCTTCTCCTGCAGCCATTTGCGATCATGAACTACTTCAGTCCCAGCTGGTGAAACAGTCCGTGGCGGATTTTCCCGATCCCCAACCGGTCTTAAATAGCACGGATCTGGAGGCGGATCTACCGCGAACCAATTTGATCAGAGGAATCGCTTCAACCTGGGACATCATCGTGGATCCAGATTCGGGAAGTGGCACATCAGCATCACCTGGTCCTTGCTGCGCCGGTCAGCTTTGCTTTTGGTCTTTCAAGCTCCCTCCGGCCAACACTGCTTTGGGAGCTTGGTTTACCTCGCATGACCCGCCCCAAATAATGGACTCAGGGTGAACCTTGGTTTACCTCGCTTCATCATGCTTCACTCCCCTTTATCTCTCCCTTTATTTTTTCCCTTTCATATTTTCAGACCAAAGACGTGGGTTTGTTCCACCTTCTAAGGACCCGGACAGCGCCAGTGCCGCCCACAGCGTCTACAGCGCCGTGCAGATCGTCCCGCGCTTGGTAAGGCCAGGCCAGGCGCTGGGACTGGCCTTGCGGATGGTCGCCTGGCGCGGTGGGGCGGGCGTTTGGGGAGGGCGAAGATGCGCCTTGCAATGCACATAAAAGAGGATGAAAGGCCAGAGGATTCAATTAGATATCTGATATATGTGTGATGATTTGTGTGATTTCTTTTTTCGGGCCAGGTTGAATTGTGGAGTTTCTGTGTCACTCTCTCTCATGTAGCAACTGTCCATGCGTTTATCATGTTGTTACACCTCATGCTCAATTGGTCAATATGAAATTGCCGCTCCTTCGCAGCTTGATTGAGGTGAAGCTCTCCTTAGTGGGTGATAGTGGGCACAGGTGCTATCGACGGTTTTTTACATTCTTTTTTCTCCGGTCATTTCATAGAGGGACTACTGCAAAGTCACAACAGTAGCAGACTTTGTCTAGGCTTAGAGGTTGTAGTGCTGATAGCAAGACCATTTGAGGAGCCGGCATATGTCACGCACACGTTGTCACATGCCTGTGGCTCGGCTCCTCTACCGTACTTGATGTCCCCAACTACCCGACATGCCCTGTGTGACCTTCTGGGATCGTGTGGGGGTCCTTCCATTTGTTGTGGTTTGTGATACTTTGTGTCTCAGCTCCTCATGCCCAGCGCTTCAGCTCCTTGAGATGTTTGTATGACTGCCATGACCACAAAAGGTTTATGCATCCCATCCCATGGTGAGCTTTTGGCATTTTTGCAAGAAGACATACTCAGGTCTTTAAGTATACCATTCCTGGATGCACCATTGGTCGCGAAGGCCGGGCTGAAGAAGACAACAGGCCTGATCGAAAGTCTTGATCGCCCAAAGGACCCCAATCTTGGTGTCTTTCGGATTCGGAGTCTGTTTCTTTCGAGATTGGCATGATCTAGCGTTTTTCACGAACCCGATCGAACAAATTCATCGATTGTTTTCCCAGATCTTCTTGCACACGTTCTTTTTTCGTCCAAAACTTTGAGAACTGAGGTTTACCTGGAGTCACCATGTCTTTATCTCTTCAATCCCTGGTCTTCAACCTCACTGCATGTGCTGCCATTGGCGACCTCAGCAGCTGCTCCGTGGCCTGTGCCGAGCACGCCTCAGGGGACGCCACGGCGGTCTGCGCGGCAGAGGGCGGCACCTTTGCCTTCGAGGGCTGCCGGGCGCATTGCTTGGCCCTGCCGCGATATCACCCATCCACGTCACTTAGAAGGAACAGAGGTCGATGTTATAAATACCTAGCACTTCCAACGGGTGCCCTGTCTGGAGACCTGTTTACGTAGGGTGGGGTAGTCTATTGGACACCCATTGGATGACCCTGGTATGTTGTTGTTGTGTTTTAACTGGCGTTTTCTGGCTCTTGGCTTTAGCGTGAGAACAGACTCAGAAGTTTTTCTTGTTTTCAGAGGTAAGAAAAAGAAGTTGTTGTTTTGGTTTTGATTCGTCGATTTTCCCTTCATTTTCCCTAAGCCGTTTGCTTCTTGCTATATCTTAGGCATCCGGATGGTGTGGTCCAAGCGGCTGAAGTGAGCTGTGCAGAGGGCACTTCGATCCTACACGGGGCCACGTGCAGTCCAGTTTGCGAAGAGGAGCAGTCTTTGGGTGGCAACAAGTGCCAGGGAAGAAAGCAGAATCCACAGGAATGAGGTGGAAGGGATGCATGGAGTATTTTGGGGACTTGGAGGTTTGGGTGGACAGTAGTGGTGAGCAAGCAGTTGAATTGCGTGGAGTCTGATGAAAGAGATGGAAAGACCATGAAAGACCTGGGACTTGAGGGCTCAAGTTTGACGCATATCTCCCAATATCTCACGGTTTTTTGGGAGTTGCTTTGACACATCTCTCACCTCAGCAGGAGCTGATGTCCGACGTCCCCTCCTTGCGGTGCAACGACTCGGCCTTCGAGCCAGCACGCTTCAGCTGCATTCCCACGTGTGCACCGCCGGAGGGTGGGCCTTACGTCCCCCGACCCGAAGCCGTCCGGGGTGCCGGTGCGAGCGTGGAGATAGGGACGCGAAAGCGAAGGGGGGCTCCTGGCCTTACTAAGTAACAAGGTTCGCTAATTAGAAATATTTGAAACAAGAATTTAGAATGCAATTTCATTGGATTTCTTCGTTGGATCCCGACATTCTCCAACCACGCAGAGAGGGGATCTCGAACATCTGAAGAGCCGGGAGAATGAAGCGGGATGAAGCTATGGATTTGATTTAAAACACTGTCTTCCACGACACTGCTCTGCAAGTTTCCTCCATTGTCCTCCAGTTTCCTCCAGGACGTCCCTGCTGAACTGAGCACTAAGCAGCCTCAGCTGCTTGCCGCGTCCCCACTGTTGCCCATCTGAGGCTGGATCACCACCTTGTGAGGAGCGAAGGGTAACCACAGTGTGCCCTGGGTGCCAGAGATGGAACAAAAAGACACAAAAAGACACAAAAAGAAACGGATGACTCTGAGGGTCAAAAATGGAACAACAATGACACTGATGACTTGGTCACATCGATTCTGGACGCAGCTGCATTGAAGGTAGAAGATTGTTCTGTCATTTGTACAAGAACGTTTGCTTATCTATCCATGGGGATAGCTAGGACCCTTGCAAAAACCCTGGAAGTACTTGTGTTGTAGTGTGAATTCATGTAAATTCCTTAGGATCATGATCTACATTTAATATAAATCAATGGCGGTTGGAATCCCAGGAAAAACGGAAGACTATATATAGACACCCCCAGCCCATGCTTGTCCGCTCTCGAGGAGCTTCTCACACAGCAGCTCCTGCGGGAGTGCCATGCACGCTGCCAACCAGGCGTGTAGCTCTGGAGTTGGTGGTCTTCGAGTTCGGAATAGGGGGCTCGAAACCCTTCCTGAAGAACAGGGTTGGTTTGGGGACAAGTCTGTCATCGAAGCAGAGTTTGTTGATGACCAGTTTCGTAAGCAGTTTCGTTGCATACGATATGATACTTGCTGATTTCTTGATAACATTATGATTTTTAAGTATATTTTCGCGTGAGGCAGGTGCTATCGCATGGTAAACCATCTTACCTCAGCAAACCTTTAGTGGCCAACTTTCTGAAAAGCGCAGCCCTTTCAACAAAAACGGCCGATGTTTCCGATGATGTCCGATCTGTCCAGTGGGACCAGCTCCATTCTCCTTGGGAAGCATGAGAATCCCGGCTTCCCACGGTCATCGTCCCGAGGCTATCGGCCCCGCTGGGCCGAGCCGGAGGCGAGTAACGGCCCTGCCACTTGGGAGCAAAAGGTGGAACTCAGTGGGATTGGAGGTTGCTGGGCATGGCCCAAGAAATCCAAGAGTTACAGGCCAAGGATGTTGGTAATTGCCCTCCCAACAAACATGGTTTCGTGGAAAATGACCGCCGAATGAGAACCCTTTTCTCCTCCAAACATGGGGCTGAAGTCCACGCAACCATGCTTGTTGGAGGGAGGGTATTCGGTATTCTGTATTCTTCCTTGGGCAACTCGGAGGTTCTGGAGATCCAACGATCCGTGTGATTTGGAGCATCCAGGTCTCACCACTGGAGCTGGTCTTGAACTGCAGCTTGTCGGGCACTTGGTCGCCTTCCAACTTCGAATGTCAACCGCTGTGGCTGGCAGCTCGTCCGCAGCGGTGGGGCTGGGTTGCTCGGAGCAGTCGGGTGCGGGAAGGATGACATGAAACACAGGGGGTCTTTCAGGATGGATGCAGGATAATGCAGGTCAATTTGGCCAGAGTGAAGATGCTATTCTTTTGCACGCCACTAGTTATATTATACTAGTTGTTTTTTGCACATGAACATTCTTACAAGAAGTAGTGGAGTAGGAATCAACATGACTGACATGGCCAGTATCTACAGTTCTCCTCCCAAACACTAGAGACTTTTCTCATGGGTGTGAGGGCAAGATGGCAAGCTTGCTGGTTTTGGCCTATGTTGCGGCTTGTTGAGATGAACGCTCAGACCCAGTTTTCCTAAGCTTTTCAGGTAGAGATGGCATTTTTTTGGAGGAAACCATACTTCTTTCAGATGCCATATCTGCACCTGTGGGTGAAATCACTTTCGCGAACATCGCGCGGGGCCAGGAGATCTCGGAGGTGTCCGCCGATTGGGCCCACCGCTGGGCGACCTTCCACACGGGCGACGGCGACGGGACTCGGGTCTTTCTGCGTGTGAGTGCGGAGGTCGAGAAGCGAAAGGTCAAGGAGATGGAAGCATTTCTACTGGAGTGGCAGGGCAGTGAATTTCAATCACTTGGACTTCGCAGTATTGGATGGACTCATGCAGCAATTTTAATAGCTTTAAGCTTTTCTTATGTATTGTTTCGGAGGTTCGGACTTCTGCTTTGACCTTTGTTGAGCCAAACAATCTACTGGAGCAGCGGCAGTACTTATTGGTCAAGGGGTCAAGATCCCTCAAGTTCCCAAGACTCTTGGCTTCCGCTCCTTCAGAGACCTTCAGGAATGCTTCAGTGGAAGCCTTAGAGGCCCTGCCCTATTGGTCCCACTCTTCCCTCTACCTCGTCACCACCCGGCTCCGCGGTGACGCTCCCGCCGCGCCCGGTGCCTCGTCCTGCGCGCCGCTTCTGCGGCTCAGCTGGACGAGCGCTGAGCTGCTGAGCGAGGAGGTGCAGCGCTTGCCCTTCGCGGAGCTGCCGGGGCCGCTGCAAGTGCTGGCCACGCCCTGGAACCAGGTCGCGAGGGGTTTTGGGTGGTGGAGAAGCCAAAGGGAGGTCGAAAAGGAACAAGTCCAAGGGGTCTAGCAGTCTAGAGGAATTCATCCCACACCCGTTAAAACCATTTAAAAGCCATGTGCCTTCAATATTATGCCAGCAAGTTCCTGATCCACTCTCGTTAGACATGTTCAGGGTGCTTGAACATGTTGTCAGAATGGCATGAGCAGCGCTTTCCCCACTTCTAGCTGGGTTCACATTCCAAAACTGAGAGTTTCTTCGGTCACCGATGGAGTCCGGGGCGAACGAATTGGGATGATGTAAGGGTCCAGGTGATAAAGACCGGAAGGTTAGCTACTAAACCAGATCGGTTTTACCCGAAGACTACATGAATGTCACCGCATCATCGTGCCTGTGTTATGAAGCGGTGACCTTCAGCGTTCAGCCAGGTGATCATGTTGGTCCCTGGGATGCCAGGACAAGGTGCGGCCGGGCCACCCTGCAACGACACCGAGGCTACTTGGCGAAGAAACGCAGGAGGTGTGGAGCTGGTGGAGATCTTTAATTGGATGTATCAACATTTCAGATCTTTTCAAGATAACGTTGATACATCCTGAAGCTGTGGAGATCGTATCAAGAGATCTTAAATAGAGCTGTGGAGATCTTCAATATATCCACGGTTTCTCTCTCTTCTCTCTCTCTCTCTTTTTTTAAAAACAGGATGTTTCAGGTTGAAGGTTCCTGTATCCCACTGTCGTATCCTGGGATGGATGGAATATTCATCCATCCTGGGATGGCCACCAACTGCGGGAACCCCTGTTCGACTACTCACTCGCTGCGCCCGCCCGGTCCGGTGCAAGGTTCCGTGCGAGTCCGCCGATCCCCAGAACTCGGAGAGACCTTCCGGTGCTTTCTGTAGGTCCTTTGCGCCAGTCGGCCGACCCTAAGGCCAACAGCAGTGAGATTTTGGAGCTACCAGCCATGTATTTCTGGAATGGCATGCGCTTTGAGGCGCCTGGGACCGGTGCCAGGGCATGTTGAGCGACGACATGCCATTTACTCGGACCGGTGCGGTGCGTCTGCCCGTTTTCCGGAAAGACCGGTGCTGTGCGAATCTTGTAAGAAGTTGAAGGCAGGCTGTCTCAGCATGCTAGACTGACTTGAGGCGATCATCTGGGTACAGATGGTGCATCCTATTTTTTCAATAGACATCAGATATTTGAGGGGTTTCTGACATCCACTAAGTACTGAAAGTGACAGAATTCCAAAGATTACCTTGTTTCACAACCCTGTAGCGCAGAGAAAACTTGGTACTGGGTGAAGGCCATCCTGGATCCACTTTTCTCTGGCGTCATTGTATACAGTGAACGCCTCACATGTGTTTCTCAAAGTTACTGGTGTTTTTCCGCTTTGGTAGGCCTGAATGGGGCTACTGGACTGAAATTCCATCCTCGGTCTCGTGAGACTCAGGAGTCTCAACGCTTGGAGCATGGAGCCACACTCCTTGAAGTCTTCGTTTGGCGGGAGCAGGTCATGGTGCTGGCCGTTGGAGGCGGACGGTGTGACCGGCGTCGAGCGGCGTTGAGCCACGCCGCGCAGCGCCGGTTCGGTCCAAAGCGAGGAGCTCCACCCATTGTAGCGGTAGACCTTCGAGGAAGGTCGGTCGTGCCGGGCCGGGGTCGGTCTGCCAGTCCCCACGACGCCAGGTGGGTTGACGTTGCGAAGCAAATCGGCGTAGCGAAGTCATGTCAATTGGAGGTTTGAAGTGTCCGGACTGGCTGATTTGTGCTGCAAGCCTATGAGCCTATGATTCAATCTACAGGAAGATGTGCCCCATGACCAGTAAGAGTCGGTAAAAGATTATATCACTAGTTACAGTAGTCACCAGTTTTGGGAAAGGCATCATCACCATCATCACCATCATCACCATCATCCATCATCCATCATTCACCATCCACTGCAACCTCATCATTAGGATAGTAATACCTCACAATCATCAACGAAGGACCTTCCCGGCTCCGCTGTCGTCGCCAGGCGACGTCTCCTCACTCTACGCCATGAACCGGACGCAGTCGGAGCTCTGGCTGCTACTCAATGTCTCTCTCGGTGGAATCTCTGCCCTGGTGTGGCTTGGGTGTCAAGACGACTTGGGCTTCCTGGATGTCAGTGGAGCCTTGGGACACGCCTGGACAGTTGGCCCAGGGTTCCCCCAGACGGTGAAAACAGAGAGATTTCAGTCAAACGTGCTTTCCCCCATAAAGACCAAAGATCAGCGCTGCTTGAAGTTGATGATGGACGATATATCTCATCTTTTGATATGTCAGAGATGATGTCGACGTTCAGGGTTAACCTTATCAAGTTGAATCTGCCCTTCACTCAATCCATTAGGACAATCCTGCTCTCAGTTGAGCTCCGCCTCTTGCAGTGCTGAAGACATTCGACGAGCTTGCGGTCGTTCTTGTGGGTGCCCTCATGATTTTCCCTTCTTGGCTGTGGCCTTCAGATCACCACCCAGCCTCTCTATCTTAGAGCTCAGCGACGACCCGCCACAGCTGATGCCAGTGACCGGCAGGACCGCCCAGCCGATCCGAAGCATCACGGTGACCTTCGCCTGGGCGATTTCAGAGCAATTCCTGGTGACAACGCCTTTTAGTCTCCTGAACAATTGCCTCAGTCGTTCTTGTTTTCCATCAATTTCCATCACTGATCTTCTTAAAAGAATAATGATATAATTAGTTCCGTGCCGTGAAAACCTCTTCTTTCCCAACGTCGACCGAGGCTTGGAAGAGGACGCTTTAATCTTCACCTGGCGTCCAGTTCTTCGACAGCTCACATATGTTCAAACGCTTCGGCCCGCACGCACCGGTGCCTGGGCAGTCTCCAGCAGCAACGTGAGCCTTCTGTTGAGTGCTGGCAGAGACTCAGGCACGCAGACAGGGTCAAACATGGCCAGTTGGGGTAATTCATGGGTGCTGAAGCAGGGGGCCCAAGTCCAAGTTTGGTGTCGTGAGGAATGATCTGTTTTTTTGTTTGTCTTGAGGAATGATGATCCCAACTGAACATCATGCTAACATTTTAGGGGCAGGGTTGAAACTACCACGGTCACCCACAGTCACCTTTTCACCTCGTTACATTGGGAGGCCTCAACGAATTGGGCAGGTTTTCCTGAATGGGTCACCCCTGCACTCGGCATTTGAAAAGAATGAAGAGAAGCACAAGTCTTCCCTACAGGAGTGGCCGACTCACGGCTTTATGCGGTCGATGCGACCTTCGACTGGTACGCTGGACCCTGGGGCGAATGCAATGGCACCTGCCGCGGCAAAGACTTCGTCTTCCGCCATCGGGAGGCGAAAGGGAAGGACCGAGGTGGCGAACGTTGCAAAGGATCGCCTGTGATGGCCTCCAACCGATGGCATGCGATGGCCTCCAACCAAAGGTTATAGCCTATAATGTGTTTATTTTGAGTGATTGGCATCATCTTCTTTAACCAGCGTTTCGGTTCGCTGTCTAGGGTTCCCGAAAGTTCCGATCTTTTGTGAGATGCATCGCGAGATGCATGGAGGTTCCCTTAAACGGTTGGTGCAGGTCTTCGTTGCATTGAGAACCAGAACTGAAAGAAAGATCCCGGAGCGCAAGCCCCGCGCTCATCTCGTGATATCTCTTGATTTCACTCGCTTGTCAGGTGGCTTGCCGCAGCATGCCCAGCGGGTTGTGGCAACTTGACCCAGGTCATTTTGTGCCCAAGTTAGGACCAAAGGCATCTCAGAGTTCTTCTTTCTTCGGCTGTACGTTTTGAAGGCTCGACAGATGACGTGTTCTTCCATGATCTTCCATTTTCAATGCTTATAAAATCACTCGTCAGAAGGGAGATGAAGGGAGAGCTGTTTTTGGATCACCGATCTTTTGGCAGCAAAGCGCTCTCTGGTGAAGGGTCAGGTCATCTTTTCTCCGAGGCATCGTGGTGCGGGCTGCCTGGGCACAGCACCGATGACGGAAGAGAGATGCCAAAACTTGGAGCCTTGCCCCAAGGACCGGTGGTAGTACCGGTGCATAGCCGGGCGTTGAACGGAGAAGACGAGTTCAACCGTTGAATGAGTGGGCCATCTTTGAGGCGTCAACGGCCCAAAACCATGCAGAAAACGTCACTCACAGACTCACAGCCCTTCCTCAATAGTCCTTGGCTGCCCAAATTCGGGGGGGCCTTGCCTGAAAGATTTGGTTTGGTGACTCTTCCCGAAGGTTTGGTGTCCAGTCCGATGGTTTGGTGGCCGGATCTCAAGAACATCGCCAGCTGCTCGGAATTCTCGGATGCAGGTCCTTTACTATCTGGGCTGCCATGCTATACGAGGCTAATGGAGGCTATAGGCTATAACATTATAGGTATGATTTGGCTATATGCTTGGATGATGGTTCCAAGATGCATATATGGCTTGGGGTGGGAAGTTCTATTTCTTCCCCCATTTGCTCCCCTGCCTTCCCGGGGCGTTGAACCACCTCGGAGGGTCAACCAGTTGCAGGACTCCTTCACTTGGAGCGTAGGGCCTTGGAGCGCTTGCGAAGGCCTCTGTGGAAAAGGCCCGCTGGGCCGACGTCCGCTGCCCCAAAAACGCTGGAAGGAGTTGAAGGAGAGAGTTCTTAAAAGCCTGCAAGTTCCCATCATCCGTATCCACCTACGTATCCACTCTAGTGTGTGGCTGCCATTAGGATCAAAGATTTGCCGGGCAAAACCTCTGGAAGTCCTTCAAACTCTGACCGTTGGATACCGTTGGCACTTTTTTTGGAAGTTCCATCGCTTTGATTGAAGCAGACTCATGCCTCTTCCATCCTTTTGGAAGTGTTCTTCTGGACAAGTTTCGAGAACTCCTAAAAGAAAATACATCATCCCCGACTGGTTGGATTCCTTGCCATCACGAGCTGATCTGTCAGGCTTGCGCCGTCGAAGCCTCAGCTGCCTACGACAGTTGGTGGCCGCCAACGGTTCAGCTCTAGGATCGACCGGCGCGGCTTCCCCGCTTTCACCGGGGCTTGGCCTGTTTTTCATTGGACACGCACGTTCTTCTCTGTGGTTTTTCAATCGAAGTCTCGTGTTGTCTTGCATGATAATCGATTCAAACCGCTAAAAAGAGTTGGTTTCTGACGCTGTTTTGGCGTTCTGACGCTTTTTGTGAGAGCAAAGAAATTAAGCACCTTCGCAACCACCAGGCTCAAGGAACCTGACATCAATATTTTCGGCTGGAAGACCATTTATCCAGATATTTTTTCAGCATATTGTGTAGGATCCTTCAACGTGGCAGGTGGTCTTCGCAAAACAAAGGCACCCACGGATCGCCGTGTTTCCTTTGCCTCCTTCCCATGGCGATCCTCCAGGCGGACCCGCCAAATGCTGAAGCGGTGAATGCCAAAGGCCCACGCCCCGACTCCGAGGGGCGGAGGGCGACGCCCTTGAGCTGGGGTGCGTGGCTGGCGGCGTGGCTCGTGTGGCCAGCCATTTGCGCCCTGCCGCTGTGCCTCACGTGGGGTGAGACGGCCTATCGATCAGTTTTCCCAGGCTCATGGTACGACGAGGTGCCTGTGACGCCGGTGCTGAGTGGCTACGGCGTTGCAGATCCACGGAATGTGAAACCTTTGGGCCTTATTTTGGGCCTCTCAGCCGTAGCTGTGGGGCAGTTCTTCATGCTCATCTATCACTTCCTGCGGCGTTCAAGTCTTTTGGGACGAGTTCATCGGGTACAACCTCAGGTTCGTGACTACTTTTTCTCAGAGGGCCTGAAGACTCATCTTGGTAACCCCGAAGGCTTTGGTCTCTTGGGCAGCTATCTCATTGGCACATGGATGCTGGGTTGGATGCCATCCTCATACTACTCCTTTGCGGGTGGCATCAACTGGAAGCATGTAGCAGCACAGCTTCTTTTGCAGGACCTGATTCAGTGCATCATGCATTATGGAGAGCACAAGATCTCCACTTGGGTCTACCAGAACTCTCACAAGCCGCACCATCGCTTCACCAACCCCCGGCTTTTCGATGCCTTTGATGGCAGCCTGGTGGACACGATTTGCATGATACTGGTGCCCTTGGTCATTGTTGCCCGCTTGGTGCCAGCGAATGTGTGGTCCTACATGACCTTTGGCACTCTCTATGCCAACTGGTTGGTCCTGATCCACTCCGAGTTTGTCCATCCCTGGGACGAAGTGTTCAGGAAGCTCGGATTCGGAACAGCGGCTGATCACCATGTTCATCACAGGCTCTTTGTGTACAACTACGGCCATCTCTTCATGTATTGGGATCGAGTGATGGGCACCTACAGAGATCCACGCAGCCTCGCTGGGCAGCAGTTCAGCAAGGATGTCTGATGGGGTGCTCAATTCCCGTTCCCAAAACTTTTGAATTCAAGATCTGAGCTGCAAAGGTTCCAGGTCTGACAGGTCTTCCATCGTGAAATCGATGCTTTCTCTGCCATGCAGACACCATCTAAGTTCGGAGCCGGGACAGCGGTGGCATTCGGAAAAGACGACGCCGTTTCAATCGTGGACGCCGTTTCGCTCAGTGACACCAATTCCCTGCATCTTTCATTCCGCTCCGCCGTGCGCCAGGAGACCCGCGCGAGGCGCTGGAGTCCGAGTGTCCGACACCTCCGAGTGCTCAGCTGGAATGCCCCCTGAAGGCGCTTCAGCGCTGAGTCGAGACCGACGCCCAAACGGATTTCTCGAAGAGAAGCAAAAGAAAGAGGTGGTGAGCACACGAAAAAAGGTCGACAGAGTGGGAGGTTGTAAGAACAGTTCCATTGAACCCCTTGTCATTGTCATATAGTCTATATAATATGTCTTATATATATGTCTATATTCTATTATATATATATATATATGTTTATATAATCCATATAATAACTCGATCCATACTAACTTGCAAAACCATCCCTCTTTGGGTATCTTTGGGTCACCTGGCTGGACTACCCTCCACTCTCCGGGAAGGACAGGACACCCAGAGGGTCGGATGGTGGGTATGTCCAGGCCTGTGGCAGCTTCCGTCTTCGAAACCGAGTGGCCCTGCAGAGCGCTTGGCACGCGACTTGACTTTGGCAAGTGGAAGTAGATCCAACTCAAGAACTCCAGGTGAACTCCATTATCAAACTAAGAATTGAAGGTGTTATATAGTAGTTTTTTTCTTCATGATATCAAGTGGCTTGCACACAATATACCTTCCCCCGGCTTGAAGAACTCGCAACACGAAGTGATCCATGGAGGAGAAGACGTTTCGTCCGTTCAAGGCAGGCAGGGTTTCGACATCTTGGGTGAGGCACCTGGCTTGCCCGCAACTCACCCTGGTCGGTTGACCATGTCCGGTAGTCTATTCTGTTCGTTTGTTGGTGGTCAACCAAGATATCACAGGTTTTGACCCATATCATCCCATATCCATATGCTCAGAAGGCGAGTCAGTTTTTTCTGTTATCACGCAGATGACGAGCCAGCCCAGCTGTTCTTTGTCCTTTGAGATGTGGGTATTGGATGGTATTGGTCTGACTCGACTTAATTGAGACCAATCTATAGGAAGACATGTATCAGACGTCAGACACCAGCTTCAGAGTGGCTTCCAATTGGAAGACGATTCACTTTTTCTTTGTTAGGTTAGGACTGTATAGTGGCTTCACTGTACACTTATATAGAGACAAAGGATTTGAATCATGACAATGGTCGCAAACCTTGGACCTTGTTCGATGACTTGGCACTTCCGGAACAGGATGAACCATCAAAGTCGATTCACTACCCCGCCGGGTCTTTCGAAGGATCTCTGGGAATCCACCGGGGTCGCCGGCTTCCACCGAGGTCGAATCGAGCCGAGGACACCATTCCACCCGGGTGTTCTCCGGGTCGCCGAGGTCGTGGAAGTGGCCTTCTTCGTGGACATTGCATGCAAGCAGCAGGTCCTGCCCATCTCCGTCGATCGGGCCGTCCCACCGAGAGCGTCTGCTCGGGCAGAAGCTCCGCCCGGCTGGTCTGCCCGGCGGAATGGTCGCAGCGGACCGCAGTGGCCGGGCTATTGGCTCAGCATCCGAAGGTACTGCAGATCACTGATCAACAGCCAATGTATGCCAATGTACGTGCATGATAAGACAATCGAAACTCTATAGGACATGAATGGGGTGAACAAGATCAAAAACACGAGATCTAAACTTATATGCAATGGAGACATGCTGCAGTTGCTGCTTTTGATGACTGGGATTGACTGCGGTATAGTTATAGCAATTTTTACTCACACCCCACGTGGGCGAAACGGGAAAAAGGATCCCCCGAAACAGTCGTCGTCGCTGTGCTATGTTCGATGCATTGGGTGCCTTGCAAATCCCATGCCTGGTTGGTTCAGTTGGATGTATTTGTCCCTCATTGATGACAGACAAAGCAGACAAAGATAGACAAAGCCCATTCTCCCAGCCAGAAACCCACGGGTTCTCTCGGTCCAGCCGTTGGGAGCCTTCGTCTTCGCCGTCCAACCCGAAGCTCCACTGGACCCCTGGACCTGGGTCTCCAGGTGCACGGCTGGGCGGTGGCGTCGGGGCGCTGTGCTGGCTGCGCGTGTCAGAACGCCACGCAGCATGTGGTCCCCTGTGGGCCGGAGCGGCGGGCGACGTGATGTGACGACGGGTGGGAGGTTGGTTGGTTGGAGGAAATGGAGTAAGGTGCTTTAGTATGCCTTATATAGTTGGTTTGTGGGTTAATCGGATGGATCAGGATGGATCAGGATGGGCTAGACTGATTAGACTGGATTGGATGCATGGTGTGGGTTGATTGGTCTGCTGGATTGGATTGTGTAGTAGTGGTACAGTGATGTGGCTTTCATCGCTGGATCGATGGATGGAGTACAGCATTTGTTGTTTGTAGCATCAACAAAGCCCACCCAACTAAGGTGGTGTTCAAGGTAAGAAAGAGAAGCCCTATCAATTGCCCAGATGAAGTCATGCAGTATCATGCAGTACTTGTAGTCAATATATAGGGATATGCTTATATTGATATACTTGTTCACAAACAAAGAGAACATCTACGGCACAACCATTTGGTAACCTCGGGCACAAGCTGTATAGGCTCCGTGACTATGGGGTGCAAGCCTCGCAGGAGCTGGCCATCGATGGCTACTGGGACCCCACACGGCTGCAAGCCTCGCAGTGGATCTCACAATGCGCCCCATGGCGAGTTCGGACGTTGCTTCGTGGATCTCTCTGAAGCGGGAGGGTCTCCAGCGGCCGGGCGGGCGGCTCTTTGGGACGGTTTCGTCGACTTGTGAGGTGAGGTCAGACCTCATCCTCGCTTTGATGCCATCCTCATCTGTGTGTGGCAAGTGTTCCATCGTTCGTCCTCCTCGACCTGACGTCGATTTCAGGTCTCTGGCACTCCCGCATGTGCTCCCGGCGAAGCGTGGATCGGCCTGCAGGCGAGGGAGCTTCATCCCCCCAAATGCGGTCGGAACTCCGAATTCATGCAACGACTCCAGGGGTTCAACCAAGATCTCAGCAAATGATTGTGAGAATAGACCCACTTGGAAACTAGTGTGGACTCCGGATTAATAACCCCCCCATAGTTTCGGATGTTTTTCTATCCAAATGGTTGGTGGGTAATCAAGATCCTACATGGTATTCATTGGAGGATCTTTCCGGAAAGAACTCTTTGGTCAATCATTTTTCCATGTTCCATGTTCCATGGCAGATCAGCACTACAAAAAGGAACCAGGAGCCCTTGGAACCGGTCGATGCTTTAGATGCACAGCGAACTCCTGAACGTTCCTCCTGAACGTTCGTGGTTTGTCTGGATGGCCTTTGGATCCCCTGGTGGCAAACCAACGAACTCATCGCTTGGTGTCTATGTTTCTTCCTGTTGGATGGGTCTAAACGCATCAGTTTACCAAAGACATCCAACCGACACACGGTCTCTGGTGCTGCGTCTAATCCGACGCGGCAGGTCCAGGCCACCAGCGAGGTGCGCTGCGTCCACCTGCTGCAGTCCGCCGATCCGGCCTACATGGCCCGCGAGGCGCGCGCGTGCGTGAACGCGGGCGGTGTGCAGCGGGGCGGCCGAAGCGAAAGCCGTGGAAGCACCGCGTCTCGAAAGAATCCAAAGCTTTGGAGGCAAATGTTAAAGGAACAGCTTTGAGAATGCATAGTGTTAGTTGGTGGTGGCTGGGGTCCTGTTCTTCAGTGGTTTTACCGATGATAGCCGTTGCATTGCCCTGACAAGAAGGCGATCTTGCACCAAGGAGTCTACAAATTGTTATAATATAGTCTTTTGCTTGTTTATAGTATACACTACTACTGGAATTTGCTGAACCATGGATGTTTGTTCACTCCCATTTGTGACTCAGGTCTGGCGAAGGGGAGAAAACAACTATATAAACAGAAGTCTTTTTCGCCAGAAACGGGCGTCAGCAGCCAGACGCAATTCCTTCGACCCGGGCGTGGCAAGCCAGGTCGCCTTGGAGGTCATCGATGAGGAGCGAGGAGTCTGGGAAGTCCTGGCGGAGCATCTTCGCAGAAGAGCGAGGTCTGGAGCTCTTTGGATCTCCCGTGTTTTTATGATGAAACGCAGGATTTTGGTCAATTCCTTTGATCGGCCAAGCATGATTCTCTTGGTATCTTAAAAGCATGAGGATCAACGAACAATATGCCAATATTCTATGTTCCATCATATGGAGAGGAGAGTGAACACCTGGTCCACCATGTAGCAAACAACCTTCTCCTGGTGCATCCCTCCAATTCTGGATGAAGAACATTTCATTGCTTCATAGAGGGCTCCTTCGATTCTATCGCCCTGTCTCAGGTATGCCAACTTGCAGGGAGCTGTGATCCTCAATGATGGCAACTACTCCTGGGACGTGCTGTCCGTGCCACAGGCCCGGGAAGCACTGATGCTTCAACTTCAGATGCAACCTGGAAGGAACATTCGTCAATGGGACTTGAGTGGATTTGCTCGGTTCCGTTCGTCCTTATTGTATAAGCAGAGGTCATTGTGGGCTGAAATTTCGCTTACTTTGGCCACAGACGTGCCTTCTTAGGCACCAGTTCTTTATTTTCCTCACAGGTCAATGGTGTCTTGGATGGTCTTGGACAAGAATCGGATTGCCCAGTCTCCGATGGTTGGACAGGGAGTCCTTCACCGATTCGAAGCCCCGTATCAGAAACTCGCTCCGATTCAGTGGCCACCCGACTGTATCATGAGCCTCACGAGGCCACAAAACGGGGCTACAACCGGTACTGGTAGCTCCGATTCACCCGCTCCGTTTTCCGAAGCCGCCGTTGACGTCGTATCATGAGGTCCAAGTCCCCACGTTGTTCCAATGGCCGTGACTGGCCTGGCGTCTCGTGCGAAGGCCTGTTCCTCTGCGGTGGATTGCAATGGAAACGGTGCCCCACGGGGTCTCCCCGGCAGCTGCGCCTGCGATTGTCTCGCAGCTCAGGGTCCGTCCGCCGAAGTGGGGGTCGGAACTATGAACGATTCAATTCATGTGAACTGTAGGAGAATTTCAGAGGGCTTAAAGCTGGCTTTTCGCTTGAAACATGCTTATCCATCATGTTGTTCTGTCACGGGGGGAAGATGGAGCAAAGCATGCGCTCTTTGCCAAAGAGTGGACTCCAAGTCCGGAGGACAATTAACACATCCAAAGGTGTTGTTCTTGCCGGAGTCTCTGACTGGTGCGAGCCGTAGCGTTTGAGGATGTTTGAGGGAATTCCTCCCGTCCAGTCCAATGAATTCCTCATTTGCCTCTGTCCCTCATTTTGCTTCGTGTTTCGTCACGAAGCCCGAGGGCTTCGCACCAAGTCTTCAGGTTATGAGGGCTTCGCTGGGCTTAGCTGCAACACCTGCGCTCCGGGCTTTCTGCAGCATCTCGGAACCAAGCCGAGAACGGAGAACACCCGAGAACGGCGACAGCACGGAGCGCACCGTCGATCTCGGAGAAACCTGGACGTGAGGGGAAACGGGAAACGCCCTACCTTTTTGTGCGCCATCCGGAACCTTTTGCAGATGATTTTTGCGGGGTTATTCCCTCATTTATACACATTTCATACATGTTCAATCCACTTTTCAGGTTTGCATGGCAGAAGATTTCCATCTTTTGGAGACGACCATGCGTGATCTCGCATGGCTTCACTGCTTTTGCTCCACTTGTTTTCTCAGGTACCCCGACTGTGGGCGGATGCCATCAAGCAGGATCTGGCGTCTTGTAGGCCTTCAGCAGCAGACCTGGCATGTGCAGGAGTTAATTAATTAGTGGAACTCCTTGTGACTTGTGAGTGTGTGTGTGTGTTTTTGTCGAGGTTAGATATGGTTTCATGTCATTTCACTGGATTCTTCGTCATAGTTCGTGGGTTGGAGTTCAATCATACGATACACCGAATCCCAAAGCATCGCATTTGATGCGGTTTTGGGTCGTTTGGGCGGTCGCCGAATCTGACAACCCGTCGTGCCAATACAGGTTCTGCCTGATGCTTTTTGTTAATTTCTTACTCACCTCCTGACTTCTCGATCAATCATAATCAATCTAATAGACTAATCCGGTCCACCTAATAAAAAACACGAGGGCCCCCCCCCTAATAAGGAAACCTCGGTCGCATTTTTTTAAATAGGGGGTCCCTGAAATCGGGGGGGCCCAAAATAGGGTCACCTGGGAAGAGCTTCAAAACCAAAAAGTAAATCAGTAAAATTTTATATAAAATCCATTATTAAACTCGTATCAAAAATGCAAAAAAGCTCCAGATCGAAGGGTCTTCCTTTTCCCCTACAAAAACCTTCATTAGAATAGTGATTCTTCAGTAGACTAACAGCTAAAGCTTTCGAAAGGTGATGTCGCTGTGCCATGCGGTGTTGCATGACCTCGGTCAAGTGCGTTTGCGTGAGTCCGTGCCATTGGGGGAAGGAAAGCCTGCTGGTGTAAGCGCGGCGTGTCATGGTGGATAGGCAGGGTGGACAGAGGTGGGCAGTTACGGTTGTTTTTGGAACCCAATAAAAAAAACTCCTCCAAAGCCGGCAATGTTGGTAGTTTAGTAGCGGCTTGAAAGGGCGGTTTTTTTAAAAACATATATAAACCGTATTTAGGGGTTTCCGACATGACTTTTTTCTAATAGGGGTCCGTTTTTTAATAGGTACTCGGGATTAGCTTATCATCACTTATATAATTTAAGCCAATCTCATTTTAACTTTTCTTCACCCCAGGAGGTGAGTCTCTTTCAAGATCTCCAATGCCAAAGCGAAGTGCCCCTGAGATCGGCTTCTCAGTACCTCTCCATGGACGGTTCGACCTCCCAACGGGCCTTCGATGGTCAGCTGGACAGCACTTGGATCGGCAACGCGGCGTTGGACGAAGGGACGGGGCCATGGCTGGGCGTCGTGTTGCAGCACCCGGTGGATGTGGCCTGTGTGAAGGTGCTGCAGGGCGAGGGGCGTTTTGGGGCTGAGGAGATCGCGTTGGAGCTGTGGGTGGGTAATTGGAGCTATGAATTGGACTGGAAGGATGACAATGCGAGCAATGAGAGCAATAAGAGCAATGAGACTGGTATCGATGAGGCTACTCTTCCGCATGAGAACAGCAGTGAGAACAGAAGTGAGGGCCAATGGTGGCGTGTTCGCACATGGCCTGACCTTAGCAAGCGGAGCAGACCAGCACTCTTGCAGCTCACTTGTGATGTGGGTCTACCAGCTGCCATTCATGTACTGCATGATTGTGGCAACAACAAACAGCCCTGGCAACAGTGCATGGCCTGGTGTGAACCAGGATTTTCAGGACCTGAAACCTCCTTCCTTTGCCTTGAAGACTACAGCTTTCGCGGGATTACGCCGGCCTGCGTCCCGAACGAGTGCCGCTTGGGCATTCCGACAAAGGCTCGGATGGGCGTGAAAGGAAGGTCCGAAGCAAATTCAGTGGAATGGCTCCGTTTCTGAGACTTCAACATTCTTTGGGCACATTTTTGGTCACGACTTTTTTCAAGAAGCGGTTGGTCACACGGTCAACTTGTTCGATGAGGAAGGAAACAGGAGTTGCTTGCGGGAACCCTGAAGCCACTCTAGGAAAACCATTGTCGACCTATTTTGTGATATGACCAGCGCGTCCAGTGGCTAAGGCTAGGCTCCTTCCAGCAGTTGAATTCCCCATGATTGGTCATTTGTGGATCGAATCTAGATACAGAATCAGATAACCAACAAACTGGGCTGGGCCATTCGCGGAGGTGGTACACCCCAGGGCTTTCCAAGACAGTTCTATAGTTTCTAGTTTGTCTCTCTTTGTGGATACAACCCAAAAACAAGAACACTGCTGCAGCAAGCACAACACACAGCAGCACCCGAGCAAAAAAACAGCTTACCGCTTTGACCGGAGAGTCCAGGGTCCAGGTCTCGAGCGCTCCTAGTTAGGCCCAGACCTGGAAGAGACCTGGAACCCTGGGCAGAGAGGACTTTTTTTCCGGAATCCTCAGGGACGTGATTTTCCACGTCTGAACTCCTGGACGTGTGTCCCGTCTGAAGCTCCCCTTCAGGTGGGCTTGATCATCGCCGATGGCTGTGCTCAGCTCCGCACGGGCGAGACCTGCACCGCCTTCTGCGGCCAAGGGTTGAGTGGCGAACCCTTGGAATACGAGTGCAGTGCGGATGGATATCTCAGGGAGTCCAAATCTGGCCAGGCCGGGCCGCACCTGATGGAACGAGGCTACGGACCTTGGGTGGCACCGGCACCCTCGCGTCAACGCCGAGTCCCTTTTTGCGGAAGGGGTCTCCCCGAATTCAGCGGTCTCCACACGAATTCACCGTTCTGCCGAAGTGGGTGGTGATGGACCCCCAAAGACGGAACTCGCCCTTCTTCGGGCCTCCGGGCAACTGTCTTTTTTCAGCTGTTTGGAGTGAATGGATACAACACATGCGGTGTTTTTGGGTGCACCAAAGTGCCGATTTCACCTATTTGCCTCGAGAGAGCGAGCGTAAGACATGGTACGATAAAGAGAGATCGCTTTAGGCATCCAAAATGGATCAAACCAATTCATAGTGTTGGTGATGTGTCTGTTTTTGTGGGTGGTTTGGCTTTCTTCATCACAAGTCCAATCTCAACGTCCAGGTTGGTGTGGTGCCCTCCTGCGCCTCCTCCTTTACACCGGTGGAAGCCCTCGGCAGAGCTGGCCGCACGGCGAGTGTGGGGCTGAAGTTCACGGTTGCATGGCTTGCGCAGTGGCTTGCGCTGTTGGTGTCGCTTGGCGCAAGTCTTGGAGGTTTGATGTTTAAAACTAATAGCATCTGAATGGCTGCGCGGAAAGACGTAGAGTTGGAGCTCGAGTGCATTCTATATATATAGTGCCATTTGGCACTTTTCACAATTGCTGCGAGTTATTGCGTGTTTTGCAGCAAAGGGCGGGTGTGTGCAAGGCGAGAGAAAGAGGTGTCACCAGAACTCACTTGACCAGGGGAGAATTGCTTTTGGTTGAAGTTGGTGTATTTGAAACAGACTTCTTTTTCATGATTCATTCCTAAGCGGGAGCTAGTTGGGTGGTGGTTGGCTGGTTGTTTTGGGGAAGTCCCATCGAGGACGGGAGACAGCACCAACGAAGCAGATTGACACTCAAGTTCCACATGTTCGTTCCGCAACATTCCTTGCGGCACTCTCTGAGATTCATACCTGATCTCCAACCCTGTATAAAGACCCCTTCTTGTTTGAGTAGTTTTGATTTTTGAGAGCTTCGCTCCATGACGAGTCATCCCATGAACGTTCTTAGATGATCTTGTCTGAACTGGAAATTAAGATCTACTGATCTATCTGGTGAAGAATGTGGCAATTTGGAGATCAGACCCTTCGTCTACTACAAATCTCAAGCTGAGATTCTTACAGCTTCTTTTTTAGTGCCTAGGACTTGACGCACCGACTGGGCCAAACGGCAGCGACTTGCTGAAGCGACTGACTCCATGAAGCTCGTGGACTCGGACTCCACACCTGGAGGACGTGGTGCGTCAAAAAAGCTCCGCGTTGGAGACAGGACGGGAAGAACGGCCGAACGGCCTCGGTAAAAACCTATGTTGGCCCTCATGTTGGCCTGTTTCTTTGGTGTCAGGATGCTTTGAACGATGCATGGGGTTTGAAAACCCAGAGTTCTTGGCCGGAGATGGTTCCAGAATCGGAGGATGTATGGGTCAATTTGGTAGGCGACAGGTCGACCCAATCCATCCCCACGGTTGTTCCTCACTCAACTGGGACACACAACTAGTTGGGTTTCACCACCGTTGTTGTGCTGTCATGTCATCTCCCAGGAGCGCATGCACGACCGAGTGCACGATCGAGGGAACAGAAGACCTTCAAATCCGCGGCCGGTGGCTAAGCAAACAGAGACAAGCAGGAGATCAAGCTAGACTGGTGCTCGCAGTTTGTGGAACATGTTGGACACATAAAGTGAAACGCACACCGTGTCGACTCCATCCGCGACACGTAGATCGCGATCTGCGGCACGTTCGCGACACGCTCGCATCCAAGGCGACCCGTGTCGGTGGCCATGGAGAACGGCGGAGAACGGCCGGGTTCGGGCCCGATTGAAGGGGGAGTTCTTTCGATGTTCAACGACTCCGAGCCAAATGGAAGGTGTTTTGGGGAAACACATCAGAATCCTTTAGATTGGGAAAACATATTAGACCAACGTTAAGACAGAACATGGAGAGCCATTGTGCCTTCGATGAGTCCCCAGTCTGTGTGCCTTCGATGCGTGGTTTGGGACCGATCACCAAGGCGGACCATTCCGACCGATCGACGAGGAGACATATGCAGAGCTCCCGTGGCTCGGCATGTGAAGAGAGGACTTGTTTGTTGTTGATGTGGCTCCATGTAACTTGGGTTGGCCTCTTCATATTCTCCACGAATCCACGTCCGACAAGGAACGTTGTGATCCTCCAGGTTGTGAGGCTCGAGTCCGGCAGACAGGCAAATCAAGCCGGCAAGTAGGCAGGTTGTAAGCATCCCCCAAGCCGGCAAGCATCATGCCAACTCTATCCATCTTCTCTGCTATGCAAACTCTTCTCCGCGCAGGCCAAGCTGCAACATCTTTCTGGGATCACAACCCTGACCAGTCTATCATTTGACGAATCAGACGAGGTATCGATGGACTTTGTAGGTATCCTTTTTTTCCCAACATCCAGTCTGGTGACATGTGAAAAGAGATCCAATTGCCCAGCAAAGTCCATTGATATCGCTGAGAACAGTTCACTTTGCATTGAGGCTTGCATACTGTGTTGGTTTTTAAGGTGCTTGAGGCGAAGACACAGAAGGACGGAACCTCCGAGGAAGACATGAATATCATATAGAAGATCATTCACACTTCCGTGACACCATCGAAGCTGCAGATGGGCACGGAAGTTTGAAGAAGTTCTTTTAATAGCCCCAGGGCTCTGCTTCTTCATCCACTTGGGAATGGCTCCAAGCCTGGAGCCCGACCGCTCCACCATGTAGCGAAAGACCTGTCGTTGGTAGGTCAACTGGTCGGTCTCCCGGGTAGGTAAATGCATAGCAAGGCCATCCAACCAGGAGAACGGTGTTTTTTTGTTTGACCCTGGGACTGACTCGAATGAGCCTCAATGACCAGAGGCTGGGACGAACTCGAAACCGATCAGTTCCTTCAGCGATGTTTGAAGATGTTTTGCCAGCAAATGTTGATGAAGATCCATGGTTTTTGCTGCTTCTCAAGCACATTTAGTGTGTGTATCATTTTTTAATGTGTCCATTGGCCATTGAATAAGCACCATTCCAACGCTTGGAACTATTCACAAAAAATGACCAAGCTACCTTGTATCCAGCGCTCTTTTTAGAATAAAGGGCGGTTTTAGTCTTTTTTTTCTAGAGCAGTATTGGTTACGTTGTTTATTTTGGTGCTGGATATATAAAACAAAAGCTATACCTGACCTGTAAGGCAAGGAAGAAAGAGCATGATTCATCACGTAAGGCAAGCTACGCTGAGACAGTCCATCAACTGCAACACGCTGATGACACCGTGTTTTGCCATGGTTTGCTTTCGTCTTTTTCGACCGTAACTCCTAGAAAGTGGACCACTAGCTGGGCGGGATAGAGCCTCAGGATTTGGTCGTTTCAAGTCGTTTCCATTGCTTTCAGAATTCTGACTGTCAGTGCAACGAAGTAGGGTGGCTGAGAGTGTGGCTGACCCCCTCTATTTCACTGCATCTCTTCCACATCGAAGGCTCGCTCCACTGAATCTCGGAATCGACTGAAGCCACGACCATGAACGATTCATGTGAAGTCCGACCTCATCACATGACCCACATGGTTGACAGGATGAATATAAGGATGAACCTTCCTGTGGGGCAATACTGCAGGTCCAAAAATGCGAAAAGAAGACTGAGCATCTCCGCGTGGTCCTCAGTGAGATGGAGGGGGTGGAGAATAAGAACCAGGCTTTTCTTCGGGCAATGGTTATTTGAGAATGAGAGATCGCTCTCAGATGGGTTTTGAGAAACTCAGAATCAAGAATCTTATGAATCCTCCAGTCCACTTGATGCCTTTTGTTGATCCCTTCAAACAGCTTCTTTGCACCTTGCTAAAATGATAATAGGGAGAGCCTGGGAGAGCCCCACTTCGACCCTATAAAATGCAAACACCCATTAAATAGCTTCAGGGGAAAAAAAAACAGGAACGATGTACACCCCACAGACTTGTTGACATCAATTTCCAAGCCGTCTTCTCACTCAATTTTCGTCACCCCTGCCGAGCCTTTGGAGATGAAGCGGAGACAGCTCTGACCGCTTCGAACTCGCCGATCCAGCTCGAGGAACCCGGCGAGAACACGAGCGGGCGTGCCTATCCATGGGGCGTGCCCGTTCGCAGAGTGAATATTCCCCTTCGAAGGCTAAGTGGGTGATGCGACAATGTGCCGAGAACGATCACCATGAGTGTCCTTGTGGAGCAGGACCCATTGCTCTTTGGAATGATAGCAGCCCCCACAGTTGGGGGTCGAAGTCAAATCTAACCATGTCTTCTAAATGTGCATGGGAAACCCATTCGATTGGAATTGACCCTTCATCATAAAACACATAAATACACCTGAAAGTGCAGTCTCTGAGCCATGACTTAACGCCGCGCAGCTGCGCAGCCGATGGCCAAGCGCCCAAGGCTGCTGTCACATGGTTGGTGTGGTGATGCATACGAAACGGCAAGCTCTGCAGTGAATTTCTTCAAGTTGGCTTGCATGAGATTTGTTAGACATGAGTAGCCAATTGTAGCCGTAGTTTACACCAGTTGAGTTGAGATTTAAGGGGACTTGAATGAACTTCTGAATGGATTTGTTTTGTTTCCGAATGCCCTGGAAGAGTGCTTCATGTGTTGTGTTGGCTGTCTCCTCATGAGGCTTTGGCTGAGTTTGGCCGGCATTTCGGCCTTTGAGCTTCAACCTCAGTGGTCTCAGTGGTCTCAGTGGTCTCCGGGTTGTGAAGAAGAAAGTCTAGTCTCAGAGTCCGGTTCTAACATTTTGATCAAAAGTCAACCATCATGACTATATAACTCCATATATAACTCATGCATGCTATATAACTCCATATAACTCATGCGTTGCATTGTTCTCACTCCAGCTGCTTCTCAGGAGATGTGGCGATGCCAACAACAACTGCTACAAGTGGTCCTTGGAGGGGCGATGCACGAACTCCTCAGAGGCCGGACTCGGACGAGAAGAACTGGGGACTCCTGGGGACTCAGTCTCCGACTCTGGGCGGTTTTCCAGGAAAGGAGAAAGAAAGCACCGAAAAGCTTGAAAGCTTGTTTGGCGGTGGACACATCATGGAACGTCTAAACACCTTAGCGATGGTCTTCAACCTAGCTTCTTGCTCCTAGTAGCGATGCCCTTGGCTACTAGCGAGGGCCTTCAACTGGGAAAGATGCCCGGAGGGGTCCCTAATTTGTGAGGGGTCCAACCGGGGGTGACGCCCCTGCATCGGTCTGAATCGAGAAGAGGTCGGGTCTGACACTTGTATGACACCAGTTTTACTGAGCGATTCCTGGTCAAAACGATGTAGCCTTACCAAAGGTCGCCACTTGGCCAATGTCGCACGTTCTTTGGGCACTGCAGCACCTAGTCTTCTTTGTTCCATTTGTCAGCACGGGAGTCGAATGTGAACTCCACTAAGGACTTTGTTCGGGCTTACTGCCCCTTCAGCTGCGGAGTTTGCATGCCACACTCCTGCAGCGCGGAGAAAGCGGATGAGGCTTGGTCCACTTCAGCCATCTCAGCGTTTGGTCTGTGTCTGTTTTATGCTTATTTGTGGACAGCAGCAGCTGAGTAGCCGTTGAAACACACACATATATTAAAAATATGTGGTGAAGTTCTTTTCACCAGGCCACAGGGTTTGCTTGACATCCGGTCGCAGTTCTTTTTGTGCTTTGCTCGGCAAACAGTCTGTGGGCATCACCACATCTCTGAATCCGGACGCCAGTCACTGTACGATGGCCCCTGACACGACAAAACTACCAAACAATATGAGATATGTATATATCGATATATATATATTACGTATATAGATCTGAGATGATCTGAGCACTCATATTCCGAGATGAAGACCAAGAGTGAGTCCATCTTTGGAGGATTTGCAACCAATAAGAGGGACCCTTCAAGAGATCCAAGGCTTCCATCTTGGGTTCAGCTCCCTGTCGTGCCATTCGATCAGGACTTTTGCAATGCGGACCTCGAGAGTCATGATGAGGACTGCTGATTGGTGACTGCTTGGATCATGAAACATGTCACCAGAGGGATACTGCAAAACGAGTCCAGTCGATTTACCGGAAGTTTTGGTCATGAACATTTCCATTGGCCCCAAAGATCTTGACAGTCGGATCAGGCCATGTCAGCCCTACAAGCTCTGTAGTCCTTTCTCCCATCAAGCACCGCTGTATATCGCGTACAGACTCTTGGCATTTTCTCTTGGCACCGTTTCACAGGAGCACGGTGGGATGCACTGTTCCCCGGCCAGAAAGAAGTGCATGTTGCACATGAAGTCGCTGTGGGGTGACCTGACACCGGTGAGGTTCCTTTTGGCACCACCTGCCGACACGTGGTCGAATCGATGTCTATTTCCTGCACGAGGAGGAAGTGCTCGTCGGCCTTGTTCTCAGTTTTCAGAGTGGCGAACGGATGGCAGGATCGAAAAGGAAGGTTCGAAGCAAGGAAGCTCGAAGCCCGGAAGAGATGCTGCCAAGTCTCACTTGGCTTTGTGGCCCCCCTTTTGACCAGATGCAATCCGCACAAAATCGACACAAAACACAGACACCATGACACCCTCACCATCAAACACTCTAACTATCCCTAACTCCGGTCGCAGCAATCGCTCTGTGTCCCACACCTGAGGGAGTCTTGAGCCGAACTCGGTCTTTGGCGTGAAGACCTACGAAGATCACGTCTTCCGCCTCCGCGACGCAGGACACGGGTCGACACGGGTCGACACGTGTCGACAGGTGAAGCGAGCTGACGATCTCCTGTTGACCTTGTAGGACAAAAGAAGATGAAAAGAACAGCACTGATTCATATATAATTGGATGTACAATGGTATGATGTTGGAGTGGGTTGTTAGTTGGCTTTGCCGCAGGGCTTTTGGGAGAAGAGATGCTTTGGGTTTCGTGCTTCTGGTCTAGACTTGCGACAGGAAATGGACACGGACCAGAAGGCCGTAAAACAAAGGAGACCTCAATCACCGGGGCGCGAAATGATACCTAGAGCCTGAGACCGCATATCGGAGAATTCACAGGTATACGGTATCCTACAACAGTGAACTAGCAGCTTAGCCCCTGGTTGAACTGGGCACTAGACCCTTGATCAAACCAGCTGAAGGACTTTTCCTCTTTCTAAGCTATTTCTTCAGAGTCTTCGTTGGTGTAGCTATCCTCCTAGAGTTCTGGCGCGTGCGCAGCCTGCGCAGCGTGCGCAGCGAGGAAGTCAAGACCTTCTGGCTACGGTGCGGATGTTCCGAACGCGTATCGTCCTGATCATCGATGAAGACTTCATGGAGTCGCTCAAGGATTGTGCGCCTTGCTTGAGACATGGTTTGGCAGTGATGATCCAACACTCTTGGCTTAAAAGACATGTTGCTAAATAAGAATCTCAACAAATCAGTTCCTTTCTTTTCTTTCCAAGGATTTGCCTTTGACATGGTAAAGAGAAGAACTGATTTCTTGGCATTTGTCGGCATGCTTCACGAAAAGCGGTCTTTGTTTTCTTGAGCCAAACACGCAGGCGTTTCGGCCTGTGGTCTTGTGTACCTAGTTGTACACTTCTCGTTTTGTGCGTCCTGTTTCCAGATCCGCACTCCCCCCGTCCTTCTTAGGACGAAAGCTTCAGATGTTGTCACATCTGGCGTGATCCATTTCGGATCAAGAACAAAGAAAATCCCACCCAGCTGCCCGGTCCAGGCAGCTCAGCTCTGCGCCAATCGCTGTCGATGGCCACACGTCGATGCCATTCGGTGCCTTTCCACGCCACCGTGATCCTCATGAACTCGAGGTTGTCGATCTCCTCAGGGCAGCTGCGGTGCTCGGGATGAAATCGTTGCACACGAGCACTTCCATGGTAGCGAACTAGCCACCTGCAGCCATCCATAGTCAGGTGATCCCACCTGTCACTTTTGAGCGTTGGTTTGTAGAACAACGCTTCTTCTTCCAGGAGGTCCTGCACGTGGTTCAAGATCTCAGGCGTCCAAAATACCGAGCTCTGGAACTCCAGCTGATCATCCATCATGCCCCCAACCGGCATCAAAAGCTGCGCCGGTGGAGCCTTCCCAGGCCTGTTCCACGGCCTGTCAGTTGCCGGCTGCCGCATTCGCTCCAGCGTAGGAGGTCCCGTCGAGCTCGAACTCCTCGCCGCCGCGGCCGACTTAGAAACCCCTTGGAGAGTGGTTCCCGCAGCCTTTGAAGTGTGCCCCATGGCAGTCCCCATCGCCTTTGAAGATGCCATCGCCGCCTGCCCTCGCTCAGCCGCTTCACTCGGCCTTGAAGAACCACTCGATGTAGCCCCCCCCATAGCCACGCGGTTGAAATGGTACAGGAGGTTGTTTAGGAGGGGGCACCGGAAGCCGCTTTGCAGGTGGCGGAGACTTCACCACCAGCCGCTGGGTCTCCATGTCCACCTCTTCAGGCCGCAACATCCGGATGCCCTCACTGGTGACCACCATCGGCGGTCTGGTCATGTCGTAGGTGCCCTCGTCCATAGCCTCTTGCGTCACCCTGCTGTTCGTGTAGTGCACCTCTTCCGGCTGCCCTGCATCTCCTCCAAGCCATTCGCGTCCACCTCGGAAGACAGCAGGCAGCCTCATCTGGATGCGCCCCCACACGCCATGGCTCGCGTTCGCCGCCTCCACCTCAAACACAGTGGAGTTGGGAGCCTCTAGGCTACGGTCTAAACCCCTCAGGGCCTTCAGTTTCCGAGACACGTTCCCCTGGAGGTGGCGTGCGGCCCGACGCCGATGAGTTTCTGGCCTCTTGAACATTTCTTATGTTTTCTTGACTGGTCCGTTGTTCCGACCCCTGTTGGTCTTGTTCTTCCCTTGCCGGCGAAGGCCGCAGGGCACACAAACGAGGTTGCAACCGGGTGGAGTGTTCAGTAGATCTCAATTCTTGTTGAATTTCCCTATCTGACATGGTTGAACACTCCCCCGGATCTTGGTCCCTCGTC